ACTATGCAACCTAGTGTCCTTCTGCCTACTACAAAACAGAGGCATGTAGTAGGACATATAAGCAGACCTAACAACTCTCTAATAAGCAAATAGCTAAGTAATTAGAGTAGTATTAGAAATGCTTAGCTAGTAGGTGCTTAAGTATAAACTATCCCTACTAGCTACTAACTACACACATAAAATCACTACACGCACTAAGAGAGGACCACAGAAGGCCTTAGCAATACAGTAGCACAAGTAACTTGGTTACCCTAGTCCTGCTACAATTAAACACATCATCTAGCAGACTTAGGGGGTGCAGATCTAAGGCATTACTACAGTTAAATGCAACACTTATAGAATAGCTAAATTGCAATAGCAAATTAGCTACATACTAAGAATTAATAATAACAGACCTAGAGAAAGACTTAGCATTAACTTCTACTCCTATAAAGTATAAGGAGTTACTAAAGAAAAGAGCTAGATGCTTATTACTAATAGGTTCTTAGGCCTATAGTAGGACCTCTACTTTACAGATTATTACATAGTAAAGTTAATTATTAAGGCACTGTTAATATTTATCCTGTTCTTGAAAAATTACTATAATATCTTAGTTAAGACTATTAAGGCAGATAACAAGATAGCTATAGTTAAACTAGGCGTATTGAAATAGCTAGCAACACAAGGAATTATTGTAGAGCCTTTAGCGCTAGACACATAAGCACAGAATGGTAACGCAGAACGCTTAGGGGGTGTAAACAAGGAGAAAGCTCGCGCAATGCGACTTGATGCCAACCTCTCCTAGGAACTGTGGCCAGAAATCACAAGGGCAGCAGTATACCTCTACAATTAAACGCTAAACTACGCAAACTATTAGAAAACACTATACAAAATATTCTTTATATAAGTTACCTTTAGTAATAGAATAGTAATATTACTACAAAAACCTAACCTTGCGCACCTAAGAGTATATAGGTGCAAAGTATTTGCTATAACAGACAACACACATAGAGGTAAATTACATCTTTAATAACTAGACCTAAAGGCCTAGATTAGCTATCTAGTAGGCTACTAGTTGTTAAATATCTATTAAATCTAGATACTGTTACTTAGTAAGGTAATAAGCACTTAAGATATTATATTTAATAAAGACATAGTATTTAACAGGAGAATTAAGGACCTTATAGAGAACCTTATATATAATATACTTAAAGAAATAGCAACACATATACAATCTATTAAGCTACTAACACCTACCTAGTAACTAGAAACAGATTCCTTTTATAAGGATAAAGCCCTAGCAGAGCTATTACTATAAGACAAAGCAGACCTACCAGGCTACTATCACAGACAGAAGATACAGGATAGCTATCCTACCCCTCTATTAACACCGCCACCTGCAGCACTACTTGCAGGCATTATAGCTAGTGATTAAATAACTCTAACGCAACAAGCGTCCTTAACTACTGTCCTGTGGGCAGCATTATTCCTTGCAGGAACCTAAGCTAGACTTGTTAGAATATACAGAGGAGAAGTTATAGACAAGGCTAAGATAATAAGAATGCTTACTAAAGACTTAAAGCCCTATTAAAGTTAACTTCTACCTCTGCCTATATTCTAAACTAAGCTTAAGGATTACCCTATAGGTAAACTCTTTTAAGAAGCTAAG